AAGTGCTGCTAAAGGCAAACAGATTTAAGTGCTGCAAAAGAAATCTTATTAGGTAAGGTTTACAAGTTTTCTCTTTGCAGCACTAATTTCAAGCTTTGAAGATTCTAATTTATCAGATTTTGCCCAAAATCTAACCAGTAACTATATGATAGTTATTAAACTATAGCAGCTGAGCCTGACACATTATAAAATTAAAAGTCCAATATAAAATACACTGTAATAAAATTCTTTTTTATTGATTATAAATTTATACTGATTAAAAAACGACGTCCAAATTCTGGCTTTCACTTTGCAGCAAATAATTATTTGAGATTAGTGTCAATGGTGCCAGGGCTAATAAATTTAAACCTGAAAATTCATTGTTGTGAAGAGGTTTATAAAAAAAAAAAAAACTTACAACTGCTATGATTTGCCATAAAAGTAATTCTATTAGAATTTGCTTAAATTAAATTAAGTTAGTTATGATGATAATAATTAATGTGTTCAGATAGATGTTCTTAAACAATGAATAACCATATTTAGAAATTCAAAATGGAAGATTCTTCAAATCACATACTCATTTATTTCAGTGTGCTTCTTAAATAATGTGGCTTTGCACATGTAATCGATGTGCCCTGAATTAATGCACTAATCTAAAAAAGTAAATTGATTAAAATTATTATCAGAAAAGGGAGAAAATAATAAAGCCAAAATAGGTGGGTTTCTGGACAAGAATATATTAACGTGTGTTAAGATAAAGATGAAGTTAAAAGTTTTTTAGAATAAAAGAATATTTAAAATAAGAAAATTAGATGCTTTTAAATAAAAAAGGATAACGATACTTTAGCCCATTACGTTTTAAAAACCAGCCTACGATAATTTATATATTAATTGAGAAAATAGACTAGATTGATAGAAAATTTTACAAATGTATATTTAATAAAGAAATTTAGCTCAAGTTAACTTTGAAGAAGTTTATTCTATAGAAACTTAAAATAACTTAAAATTATTCACAATAACGCTAAAATAAAATCTCAAATCATTCTTTCCAAGCTTTCTTACAGTCAATAATATGCTTATTGATCAAATTTGTTGCTCTTTCCAAACTTAAGTTTTTATCATGGGTCGATTGAAAAAACATTTGTTAATACGTCGTACTAATGCTCGAAAAGCAAGAGGCAATAAAAAAAACAATGATAAAGATGACCTACTAATAGTTGATAATGCATACGATTTAGAGAATGAAGAAGCCGTAGAAACGGTCTTTGAAAAACTTATTCAAAATGCTTATAACATAAGTAATGAAAATAAAAACACACGCTGGAGATATACGGGAAACTCTGTTCGAACAAGACAACGGAAATTACAAGAAAACCGAATGAATGCTATAGGAAGTTGTAAAATAACAGAGTTTTTTAGTCAAGCAAATAATACAAATTTAAACAATGATGAAATGACAAATGATACAAATGATGAAATAACAGATGATACTCAATCAGACTATAAAAGTGAAACTGAGGTTATAGAGAACTCATTACAATGGAAACAGAAGCTTCAAGAAACTAAAAAAAGAATACAACATTTAATCGATATTTGTGAAACTTCAAAGACAGATAAAGTAAAATATACTTCTGTCATATATTATATAAAACTTCTTCAAAACAATACTCCTAAAATAGAAGCAAGCCGAATTGTAGCCCATATTCATAACGGGGGTAAGTACCGTGCTAGATGTATACGAGCATAGGCAAAAAAATATTTGGAAGGTAATTCCCTACCTCTGTCTCAGTGTAGAAAACATCCATCAAAATCACTTTTAAATGATGAGTATGTTTCTTTAAGAATCGCCAACTACTTACGTGCAACAAAATTTCAAGTAAATCCATGGTTAGTCAAGCAATATTTTGAAAAAGATATTCTTCCTGAACTTCACATCGATCAAACACAGACAATCTCCTTAACCACAGCAAGATGTTGGATGAAAAAAATGGGATTCAAATACAAACGATATCAGAAAGATGTGTATGTTGATGGCCACGAAAGAGAAAACGTCATTGCATATCGTCAAGAGTTCTTACAACAAATAGCAGAATATGAAAAGTTAATGCCTAAGTGGAATGACATAAATTGTGAAGTGTGTGAAAAACCAAATCTTTTACCCGGTGAAAATAAGCATATTTTAATTACTCATGATGAATGCGTTTTCATGTCTATAATGGTACTCGTGAGTTTTGGGGACCAGAAGAAGAACAGCCATTAAGGAAAAAAGGACTTAGAAAAGGACTTCATGTTAGCGAGTTCTTAATAGAAACTATTGGGCAATTAAAAGATAAAGAAGGAGAAGCAAGAGTAATTATTCAATTAGGTAGAAATTAGGATGAAAATTGGGATGGAGACAAATTATTACCACAAATAAAAAACGCAATAAAAATATTTGAGAGAACGCACCCTGGATGTATTAGAGTTTGGGCTTTTATAACGCGACCAGTCACACCACCATGGCATCTGATGCACTAGTCGTTGCTAGAATGAACTTATACCCTGGTGGTAAGCAACTGAAGATGAGAGATACAATATGGAATGGAGAAACTCAAACAATGATATACTCTGATGATCACGAAAAGCCTACTTTACGATCACAACTAAAAGGAATAAAGGAAGTTCTCCGTGAAAGAGGTCTTTGGAAAGATGGGTTGCTAGCTGACTGTAAAGTGCATAAAAAAAGTAAACCGAATTATAACAGAATCAACTGTTGTGCACGCCATCTTCTTGCAAACCAACCAGATTTTTTAAATGAACGTGGGTTAATTCAACAGGAAATAGAAAGACACAGTCATAAGGTAATGTATATAACAATATATAAAGATTGTTTTTTACAATGAAATAATTAAAGTATTTACCTTAGGTAATATTTTATTCAAAATTCCACCTGGAACTTAATTACATTGAGAAGTACTGTGGCACAGCGAAAAACTATACACGAGAAAACTGCGATTATACATGGAAAGGACTAAAAAATAATGTTCCAATTGCACTTGATTTTGTTCCAGTTGAAAGGATTAGAAAATATGCAGGACTTTCTTACTAATGGATGGATGCATATAGAAAGGGTTTAACTGGTCAAGCGGCTAAATATGCTGTCAAGAAATATAAAAGTCATCGCTTGATTCCTGGAACAGAATTAATTGAAAATTGCCAATAAATATTCTTTACAATATGTATACAAAACTCTTAAAATTTTTTTTTATATCAATATCAATTACTTTAAATAAAATATAAAATATCATGCTCATATCGGATGCCAAATAAAAAGTACACTTAAAGTTTTGAATAGCTTCGAACATTCTCTAAGGATAAATATAATAATTCAGTACCATATTGAAAGATCAAATAACAAAAATAATAAATTAATTCTTTAGTTTAATTTGGAACTCTTCATGAATTAAAGTTCAATGAACAAATTAGCGTATTCCCATATTACTTGAAATTTACAAACATAATCAGTACATCTATAGAAAAACTATGTTAAATGCGAATAGTATGCGTTATTGTTATAACAGTATAAAGCAAAGCACTTTTACGATTATTATCATATAGCGATAATAACGATCATAATCACCTTTAATACTGATCGATTGATCAGTCAGTTAAAAATCCCTAGTAATTAATTTAACCCATGTCAGTATATTTTCATTAGTTAAAGCAAGCTATTTTGATTGGTCAATATAGGTTATACCGCATATGAAAATTTGGCGCATCTATAGGAAAGTTGATGGCTTTAGGTGGTACCCACCATAGTACTATATAATTTTTATAATTCAGCATGGGTTTAATAGTGCTATTTTTGTTTCTTTTCTTTGTTTTCTTTTTTTCATTATTTGTTTTATTTAGTTTTATTGGTTTAGATAAACCAGAACTTAATACTATAGTATTTCTCTATTTTTATTTTGCTCTTTATATTTGTGTTTGTATTTCATTTTGGAAGAAGGAAAGCTAACTTTGATATGGTGTGTAGCATTAGGCCATGACCAAAAGATAATCTCTAGTAAATTAGGGGCCAAGAAAAAGGCTTGAAGTCTATTGAGGCAAGTCATATCTGGTGAAAGTATGAGTAAGCTACTTATCAGATGGATTAGTATAGCTATTATTAGGAAATGTAAATTTCTTAGTATAGTTTAATTTGCAAATAAAAAGTGGTAAGACTGCCAAATTATAAAAAAAAATAAAATATATAATATATAAATTATATATATTTTAATAAATTTTTAATATTAAATAACTTTGATCTACTAGTCTGTTTTGAATAATTTAACTATCAAAATGTTCATCTTGATGAGATGATTTTAATGAATACAAAATCATTAAAATCTAATTTCAGAATCCTGAGATCGTTAAAGATTTTTGTACTATTTTATATATAATAAAATTAATTTTATTATATTTAAAATAGTACAAAAATCTTAACGATCTCAGTATCCTGTAATTAAATTTTAGCAATTTTGAATTCATTAGAATCATCTCATCAAGACAAATATTTTGACAGTTAAATCATTCAAAACGGACCAGTAAATCAAAAGTTATTCAATTTTAAAATATTAGGAAGTTTTTTAATAATTAATTAAATTAGCCAATCAGAATCAAGCTAGGGTAATCACACCATACATGGATAAGGGTGGCTACTAAATAAAAAATATTATGTGATAAATAGCACACCCCTTATTATATAAAAAAAAGGTCATAAGTCATATTATAATCTATAACAGATTATAAAGGTTATTTAATATAAAATATTATTATTATTATTTTTTTTTTTTTTTTTTTTTTTTACTTCAGCGATCCTACTTTTATTTTATATATTGGCAGTACATTACAGCAAGAATTCAGATGGCTAATC